GATCACAAATGAAAAACTGGAACAACTACATATTAAAACAAAACAAAACACCCAACTGTGCCTTTCTCCTGCCAGTGAGACTTTTGATTCATTATTTATAGGTTTGAAGCTGCAAAGCCATACTAAGTAAATCTTTGTATTCTAACAAGAAGTAAATGTTCAATGAGAGTCACAGTTTACCAATCGCTGGGAAATATCAGCCAAACACACATGAAGTACTGCTTACAACTCTAACCAACACAACCTCAAATGCATTTTACTGTACATTCATAACCACTGTTTGATCTACACTTCCTGTTTGGGTCTTAAAAAAATATTTTTAAAGGTTGCAAACCTAAAGCCAGGCATGCCTCTGATGAAAGAGAATGTTCTAGAGTTTAAGAGGCATGCCTCTTTCCTGCTGAAGTATAGCTTGTCTGTTTGTAATTCGCTAAAAATAATTTATTGCCTGAAAAGTAAGGCTGAGAATGTGGTTAGCAATGTACCAACAAGTACAGATTGAAAGATAAACTGTCAGAGGATGTAAATCCCAAACAGCAAGGCAGACTGGCAGGACCAAAGGGGAATATGGGGGGAAGAGTCTGCCCGCTGCCATGTGACCTGGAGCCTACTGATGAAATTAGAATACTGTACAAGCATGATTCCAGGAAAACACCATTAGCTACCAGATTATGTCCATAGTTTGGGAAAAAAATAAAATGGAGATGCAAATAGTAAAATATTTAGCATGATTTGCTGAACAACTAACTAGATTCCAGCCAACAACTGAAATTAAAAATTAAAAGATTTCTACCTCTACTACGGCATTTCCTCTCTTAAAAAAACATCTGAGATCATGCCATGTGTTTCAGAGTTAATTCGCCAACAAAACAGTTATCATGAAAACCATAAATTATACTTTCATCTGTCCCTGAAAATATGCTGTCTTTTTTTGTAGGAAGATAAAAGATTTCTAAATCTACACTAAAATACTGAATTATTTTAACACATTAAAAAACAGCACCAGTCTTATATGACGAGAATGACAAAGCAAAAAGATACTGTTGTCTCCATTTAACCCAAACAGTATTTAGATTTCTTGTTCAAAGGTTGAAACTAAGAAGCACTGGATGCTTTGAGGGAGCGGCTTGCTCAGCTGGAGGGTCACATGACAGTCGCTAATTGAAAAATGTTAAAAAGGGAAGGGGGAAGGGCAGGGGGTTCGCCCTTATTGCAACATTCGAGATTTTCACCGAAGACAAAAAGTGGTGGTGGTGGTGGTGGTGGTGGTGGTGGTGGTGGTGGTGGTGAAGATTTGGAAAACTCTCAAAGAGGCTTAAATTATAAGTATCCAACCTTGGGGCTAGCTGAGCATAGCTGAAGTGCCATCAAGGGTTCCAGGAAAGAGAAAGAAAGAGAGGAAGGAAGGAAGAAGGGAGGAAGGGAAGAAGGGAAGGAGGGAAGGGGGAGAAAAAGAAAGAAATTTGAAATTAAAGCTGTATTTCCATAGAGCTGTATAATGAAAATAGTCTAATCGACAAATTGGCAAAATGTTTTCTACCATTACATTTACAAAATTAAAACACTCGTCACCATAAAGCATGACATTTTATATTTGATTTATCTAAATATTTATATTCAGGGAATATGCCTTTTATTAAACTATTTTGTGTTGCCTTTTCAAAAAGGGCATTCAAAACTGACAAACTTGTGGGCAGTGAGTCAAATCAGCAGTAACATTTCAAATTAAAAGTCAGTGCATTTCTAAGATTAAGGAGCATTTCTTTAAAACTTTTTAAAATGGTTTTATTTATTTAAAAAGTCATGACATTCCCATAAAGTATTCATTTTCGACATTTCCACAAATATTATGTTAGATTCCTTAAAATATATTCTTCCTGTGTATACAATATCCACACAATTCAAAATGATGAACACAATTTTTCATGATTACCGCTAATACTTTATTGACATGAGATGGGAAAGTAATAACCCATAGCTAGATTTAAAGTTGAATTAATGACGCCATTTTGATGGTGCACATTAGCTGCAATTACCTGCACCACTCAATCTGAGCCACTAGATGGAGTGAAAAAATAAATTAAAATGGTAAAAATTTCATACCGTTATCACAAAAATCTAGACAACACTCTAAACAATTTCCAGGCATATAAAATCGTAGTGATTTTATACTGATTATACTTAAAAATCAAATCCTGTGTTTATTTAGTGTGTGTACAACTCTCCCAAGTCAGCCCTGTGCTCCGCTGTGTGGGCCTCAATGAATTCAGGTTGTCAGGGCAAACACAGGCACTTTTACCTGCTAAGCACCTCACCAACCCGACTGCTATCCTTCTAAAAATATACAATACTGGTCCCAACTTGATTCAGAAATTCATTACTGTCTTCTCAAAATCTTGAGTTCGCAATTTATTATTTTAAGCATTTGGAAATCAAACACAGTTATGGTATTAATGTAAGATCTCTGTCTGCCAAATAGACGAAAACTGTGAGGTTACAGCAAGAAAAAGAATCTCGAGCGATTCCTTTCCGAACCTCCCCAGTACAGGGGAACAGAGTCCTCACAAGCACGCTGACTCCATAGCAAGCAGACTGCCAACAGCCCCAGCAAAGCCTGTGGTTCGGGGATTGTCAGGGAGAGCTGGTTGCTGCTCTCTTTATTCTAGCCATGCACCCCCCACTTCAGTCTCCCAGTTGCTGACTGGGAACATGCAATCATTTGGCCTATGGGGGAGATATGGTGGCTAACAAGTTCATACTTCTTGACTCCTCTTTTCAAAAACCCAAATTAGGCCCAGCTAAAATGCCCATCTCTAGAAGGAACCCAATGGACTGACTAACGTTGGAACATGAAGCCTTACAAAGGCCCTACAGAGCAGGACAGTTCTCTTCGGAAAACCGCTTTTAAAAAGTTTAGATGGAAGTGAACACCTCCCGGGAGTTGGGCCACCTCAACCCCAAGTTCTTACATCAAGCTTTATACATAAAATTACAGTCCTTACAAAACACGTTTCTGGGACCTGAACTTCCACCTTGAGCATCCTGGAAGCACACTAGGGTTACACTTTTAATTTCACACGAACAGGAAACAGTGGAAGTGAGCCAAGCCCACGCCACCTTGTCTGTCCTGGGGGCGGGCTTCCCAGAAGCTAAAGTGACTCAGGAAGAAGGCCTTAAGACACATCCACGTGGGCCTTACAAGCTCCACATGTGCAAAAGGAGTACAATGGCTATGCCATTTATCCCTAGAATCTGAAATTTCACAAAGAAGTTAGTCAACTTTTTAATTTTATATACTTGCAGTCAAATTGGTTATAGAAACAGTGAGCTTGGTAAATTTGGGAAAAGATTTCAGGAAAGTTTCCCAATAAGAATTGGGCCAAACAGGGAGAATTCTGTGACACAATTAACTTTAAAGGCTGCTGTTTTAACTCAGGAAAATTATCTGCTCAATAAAGGACTTAACCAAGAGCCATCCTGTGGAGTAAGAAGACACCACGATGGCAATGCCTGGGATCACACCATTGGGAGGCAGAGTGGAATTCAAGACCAGTCTGAGCCAGTTAGGGAAATGAGGGGGTGGGGGCCAGGTTAAGGCACTAGTTCAGTTGCACAACACTTGATTAACAGGAGAAAGGCCGTGGGTTCAATCCCTACTAGTGGTGGTGAGTTGTAGTAGGGCTGGTTACTTACCTGTGACTTCCAAGAACCTAAAATGTCTTTCTGGAAGCAACAACAAATAATAACACACTGTGAGCAAGAACACTGTACGAGGCTTTGGGCATCTTAATAGCCGTTATCACAGCTATCTGCATTCAGTTACTCTTAGTATTCCTTAACCCATCAGTCTACAAGTGCTTATGTATTCCTGGTGCAGAGGATGTGTCCTGGTACTGTGGAAGCTTCACTATGGTGTGAAATTAAGCAGGAGAGAAGGAGTCAAGACTTACAGCCCAAGTACTGAGTGTACTTTTGAGACTCATGGACCTCACTTGTAGAACCAAGAACAGACCATCTTCATTAAGATGCCCACTCTAAGATTCAATGACCAGTTGGGTCAACATTTTCTGTACTAGCCATCCAATGTTAAAATACAACATGGGACCTTATTTTCAAATTCCCATTGTATCTAAAAAAACTTATCCCTCTGAAATATCCAAACTATTTTTCAGATCAATCACATTAAAGTGTTAAGCTTATGACTTATTTAACATTTCCATGCTCATGTTCAAATAATTTCCACTCATCATTTGGTGCTAAGATAGTCTCAAAAGTAGACTTCTTTTTTTTTTTTTTTAAATCCCTATGGTACGGTAGAAAAATTTGAAATGAAAATGAAGAGAGCTCATACATAGTACCAGGAGTATACCACCCTGAGTTTTAGAGCTCACAGGTTCTCCAGTCCAGCATTTCAGAAAGAAGCAGAGACAACTGTTCTTACGAATATAAAGATGAGTCTGTGGCAACAGACTTTGCCACCACGAGTACAAATATAGCGTGTTAAGCTTTAAAAAATTACCTCAACCTGTCTGGATAGAAAAGCATTGCCTTTAAATTGTCGGAACACCAACGTGTTTACACAAAGATGAAAAACTTCTTCTATAAACACAGCTTCCAGGGGAGAATGGCAGGCAAACTCAGAATAAGCACACAGAAGAATAAGAAGGAAGAAGCAAGAAAAACATAATTAATGGCCCAATACCTTACAATGTTAACTTTCACATAAGTATATTGTTTCTGGAGAAGGCAGTAGGTGGATGCCTGCCAAGGCTGGAGTGATAGGTAAACACACTGGTAAGTTGAATCCTGTTATCTGATTGTGTTTAAATTCTGATTATATTCCACTTGACAAAATAATTAATTATTTCGAACTTCCAATTGTTAACAAGGACCCAGAAGAATGCGATTGGCATTTTTCCCTCATGTCGTAAATTCAAATGCAGGAGAACTGAGCTATGTATTTCCCCTTGACAGCTGTCATTCTGGGGGTGCTCTCTTACCTTGCTAAGGATGTAAATCACATCACCACGCTTAAAGGACAACTCGTCAGAAAGGGATCCAGTGCAGTCCCACAGACCCTGGTAAAAATTAGCGTAATCAGTGCTTCTATCTCCTAGAAAAAGGAAGAGAAAGTTGGAGTTATGGCTTGAACCACAGAAAAGAAAGGACCATCCCACACTGCTAGAAGGTTTAAACAGCTCTGGCCTGAATCACGGAACCTCCCAGTGAACCCACGAGAGCCCTCCCCTGAGTGTGTTCATGAAGATCGTTTCAGAAGGATTTGGTTTTCCATGCCCCCTCCCCCTCCATTCTTAATGTAAACCCTGCAGCGGTGGCATTCATATCAGAACAGCAGATGCTGTGTGCTTGCCGCGTGTTCTGAAGAACCACTGGCCGCACTGTATCATCACCGACAGGTATGGGATGGGACAGACACCTCGGAAGTAACCGTATCACTGAGTTTGGAATACTTGATAACAGTAGACTTCAATACACAAATATAAAGCATTTGTACCCAAAGTCTCTCAAAGTTGTCTCTAACATATTTTTGCAATTTTGAAATTGCCATTGCAGATTTTTTTTTTGTCAGTTAGGTCTAGGACATTAGGTTCTGAATAAACATGCGACATATACTGGAGTTATCAGCTCATCCTTCTACTGGCATAAGCACAATGGATGTGATGTGCTCAAACTGCCATACACACCATTAACTGATTGATTATTTAGTGCTCTCCGCTCTGTAATACCACAGTAACTGGGTAACAAATGCTTTGTCACTCACAGTGCGGGTCTCCTGAAACACAGCACACAGTTAAATACACTGGACGCTTTTGTTACACTGAGAACTGTTTCCTGTTTTTAATTTCATGATAATTGAGTTTTGATGAGTTCAGGAAAAAAGAATGCAAGTAATATCAATAAGGCATAAGATGCCCGTGTGTTCGCTAGCCAGGCAGAACACATATGTGCTGACAACTTCCATCTCTGGAATGTCATCTTTGAATCTGAGTGGATAATGTGAAGATGTATGCTAGATCAGGGCTGTCATCTTAGTTTTGTTAGACGGCTTTCACAGCAGGCTCCTTGGCAATCTACACACAGCTAGTCACATCAGCATAGTTAGCACAAAGTATTAATTTATCAGAGGATTTAAAATTCCCCTTAAGGTCTTTAATATTTTTTAAAAAGAGAATCTGAATAACATGGAATCTAAGTATTTATAGGACTCACCTTTTCAATTATATCTGTAAGAAGAAATAAGGACTGGAAAATACAATCAACCAGAATCCCCTGTTAATTTTTATTTTTTAAGAGTGAAAGAGAGGGACAACGGAGCCAGGACAGGATGGGGGGATCTCTACTTTAGCACTTGGGTTTGAAGCACTAAAACCAGCAGGAACACCAGCAGGGACGCGTATAAACCTCAGAATCCAACCAAGAGCTAACAAAGCTTGTGGCCACCCCAGTATCACACCACCCCCACTCCCAAGCTTGTATTAAATAAATTCTGTAAATGGACACTAGAGGGCACTCCAGCTGGCCAGATATCTCCAAACACTGTCAATTTCTTTCTTTTTTTAGAAAAAAAAAAAAAAAAATCACTTAATAATAAAGTGACTGATTTCTTTTAAAAACCACTTATTTAGACAAATAGAGATTTAGAAGTTGAAACATTCCTGTCAGATTAAATCAACTACTAAATGGGTCAAATGTTGCACCCCATGCAGTCTGTCAGTGTCAGCTTGAGAGTCAAGGAATTAGAGCAGAGGGGATGACATCATTTCACATGTGAGGCTCTCCACACAGTTCCAGCCAAGAGGTAGAAGGGCTAAATAACTGTTTCCCCAGCCGGGGCCGGGACATGTTCCCATGCTGCTCAGCCTTAGGTTTGGTCCAAGGATGTGGAGGAAACAAACTTGGCTAGAATCTAAAGCCAGGGTTTTGGCCAAGATGTGGGGTCCCAGTGGGTCCCCAGCCGTCCAGGCACGTCCTCCGGCTTCAGACTCTCGCACAACACTTTCTGTTTAATAGATTTTTTTTTTTTTAAGTAGGGGCAGGGAAGAAAGGACAAAAAGAAAGTATATGGTGTTTTTAATACATGCTCTTATCACGTTGGGGTTTCCCTTCATCTGGACACCCTTGGAGAAACCCCCATTAACACTAATGGGAGTTATAGAAGCAGGCAAGGGAGAGACCTCGTGTCTCTCCCTAGACATTTAAACCTCACTGCTGCAAGGGGGCCACGAAGCCAGCGAGAGGGAGATATGGGGGAAGGATGCATTCTCCACATGCTTTCTATGACCCTGATGGTGACGGGATCCAACAGCCCACCTCAAATCTGTGTCCCACATGTGATTACTGCTGAACAACAATGTGTGCATGTACCGGGCAGCTTATGTACATACGACAGAGGTTCTAGGTGTGAAGAGGAAGCATTGACAATGAGGGAAAGCCAGCAGCATGGGTATCACCCCATCTCTTTGGGAAAGTATGCAGGGCATAAAAAATTAGGAGCAATCTTGTTTGTGGTACGTAGGAAGCTCCTCTAGTTCATCTTCAAAATGGAAGTGTGTCTAAACATCCACAGACAAAAGTTGTGTACAAACATAGCTTTGAAAGCACAGAACGCTCATTAGAATGAGCACCTTTTACCTAGGCCCTGGAAGACAACCCACATGAGACTTTTCTGCTTTGCTTTGTGGTGATGGGGACCAACTGCGGAGCCTTGCTTATGCTAGTCAAATACCCTCCTGCTGCCCCAAGAATCCCTGCCCCAAGATAGGCACGTTTTATAATATGAAACTTCCAGAAGCACGGTTAATGTGGTTTAGCTGTCTTCTGTGAATTAACACTGTTCTAGCTATACCACAATCAGTATTTTGAAAACTACCACACAAAGTTCACCTTGTTATGTGCACTGTCCTAGGGGCATGAGCTATTTTAAAAAGGTAAAAAAAAAAAAAAAAAAAGTTAGCTAGCCTTTGAAATGTTTTAGACAATGTGATTTTAAAAATATAAAATAGATATTGAGCAAAGCTAACAGAATTGTTACCAAAGTACAAACTGAACATGTAAACACCAGATACTCTATAAAGGCAAGACTATAAAAAACAAGATGACAATGAATGAAGCATGATGATGACACTTGGAGACCCTCTCCCTGGGTACCACAAACTTGAGAAGTACTTTAGAAAGGGAAGCATATTTTCATAGTGTTGAAAAAAATCAAGAGAGATCTGTGCAAGAAAAATAAAAGTGAAGCAACTTGTTGGAGACAAAATGAACTCAGATTTACTTTTCTATTTTACTGATTACTATTTACACTGATCGTTTTTCATAAAATTAGTCAGTGTAAAAAATACATAACATCCTTGAGTAAGGTTCATGTCATATGATGCTCAGCAAGATAGCAACACCCACCCAAACCCAAAAGATAGCAACACCTTTGTCTACTCAGTGCCCCGTGTGACAAGCTTCTAGTCAGTGACAGCACAGTCATGAGCAAAGGTCACCACCATGCAAAGACACTAAATGTGACTTAAAAGCAGGCCAATGCACGAGAGACAAGAAAGGTTGTAGAACCTTGTGGCTATGGCATGAAAAGCGCATCTACTCACTGTTTCCCCACTACCCTCAAAGGCAAACGCTTGAGGCATGGCCACTGCATCTGTGGAAGGTCTATATGCCTTCTACACATGCACAGAAAATTTAAAAAGAAACCTGTATGCTTTGGGCAGAAACTTCATGATACATAACTTAAAATATATATACCTACTTTACTATCAAGCACAGTGCTTGGGGCTTTACATGCGGCCATGGTTCACAGCTGTGTTTTACAGGACAGTAGTGCAAATTTCTATAATGACTTTGTCCTTGTTTCCTTTTGGAAAAAAAAAAAAAACGACAAAAAAAAAAAAAAAAAAAAAAAAAAAAAAAAAAAAAAAACCAAAACCCGAGCCTTCTGCAACAACCTGCTCCCGCCTTCCTGTCCAGGTCCAGAATCAGGCCTCCGTTTCCTTTCCATATGCCACAGTAGGAAGGCCTTGGGAAAGCTACTTCCTGAACACACACTGCTTGTCCACCCTGCTTCTGACAGCTCAAAAGAGTGATGTATGGTCATATCAGCAAGGGGAAGGTGACCCAAACTCCAGGTCTTTACAGGACCTGGGGGTGACAGGGCAGACCTCGCCCCAGCTGGCATGTGGCTATGAAGAGGTGTAAAGTCCTGATAAGAAGGCAGCCATCTCTTCTCTCCCTGTAAAATAATTGCTGGTTTATCAAAACTAACCTCATGTTTGCGCCACAGATAGTTTATCTTGTGCTACTTGGAAATAACAACAAGCAAGTAAAGTTGTCTGTATCGTGTGACTTTGTACATCATGTACAAAGTTATTTTCCAGTCTCGGTCACAATTAGTACTTGGGGCCATGTGCCAGGTGGAAATGGATAATGCAGAATATCCGCCCCAGCCTTCTAGGCAACCAGTGTCCTTTTCTAATTTTTAAGCTGCTGTCACTGGACTCTGGCATTTCTTACCCAATTCATTTGCTTTGTGTGTTAATCATATGCAATGAAGACATGCATGGCCAACATTTAAACAGGCTGCAGATCAATTAGCGGTCTTAAGTTTATCTGATTTTTATCAAAGAAGACAGAGCTGTGGGTCGATTGTCAGAGCCTGTGTCAAGTTGACCTTTTCAGAGATGTCTACATTGCCAGTCCCCTGGGCAACTTGTTGTCCCCTGTTAGTCTCTGAATGGCAGAAGTCTCTTCTGCTCAAGCACAAAGTATACACAGATGTCTATATTACATTCTTATAGGTTTGACAGCAACTGCATGTTGTATCTATAAACTGTCCTTTAGCAGTGACACTTCCTCAATGATGATAAGCTAATTTATGCAACTAAATCTCCTTTGTGCAGAAATGAAAGCTAATTGAGTCATTACAAAGTAATTCAGGAAGGAATACCTTGTATAAATTGGCTTACTTTATAAATCCTTCTCAAGTGGTTTTCATGCATCCTAAATGGGACTAAGCAGCTTCTCAGCCAGAAGACATACAGACCAAACAAGCCAACTGCTCCGGGGAGCTGTGCAAACACCTCCAGAGAGTTAGAAAGTGACTAGAACAGTGCCAGGCTTACCGGAGGGATGGGGTGTGCTGTCCTGGCTCCCCTTCCCTTGCTCGTCCATCTTCACCGAAGCAGCATCCTCTTCCTCCTCTGCAAATAAACAGATAAGTGGCACACTAACCAGGCCCTGTGTTCCTTCACAGCACCCACCCCGATGAAAGAGCTGAAGTCTATGGCACTTAAACGATCACCTTTAAAAGCACGAGACACTCAAGATCTGAATTCCCCTGTTAATAACCAAACAGCAACCTCAGCAAGGCTTAAGCTGACCTGACACAATGTAAGATATGCACTACTGTGCTGCATATTTGTTTGAAATACTTAGAGAATCTTGTCTAGAGCAACCTCAAATCCAGTACAGCCCTTAAATCTAGTAAAGTAACAGCCAGCATCACACAGATATGCTACATTATACTGAGTAGCAGAAACAGTGCAATCAAACCACAGTCCCTAAAACATCAAGACGGCACAGGGGAAAATGTGTGATATAAAATATAGATAACCTGGAAGTCATCAATTGTCAGACATGTTCATTCGTTTCCTCACGTAATCCTCTCACAAGATGGGTCCTAACACTTCAAGGTAATTCCCCAAATAATACTGTGGGTCTCCTATGTGTCGAATACTACGGAGGAAAGCTTTGTAGATGAGTGGTTATAAGTCATCATTCTACAGACGATTGAGATGTAGAAGGGGGCAAACTTCCAAAGCACATGATTGGAACTTGAGTCTGTGGTGTAAACCATGTTCTCTATCCTCCCTGTAATCAGTGCTTTGCTCAGATTTTTTTTCTCCCACACACTCTAAGCGCATTCTCTTGCCAGGATATGGAACAAATAACACAAAGTTAAATTTTTAGGTTTTTAAAAATTTAAAAACAGAATCAAACTATGTCACTTTTTTTCTACTAAAAACAGATGTATTACATCATTATTTTCCCTACTTAAGGACTTATATAAAAAACCGAAAAATATTTAATGTAGCATACCAAAGAAAAACTAAATTAAAACAATCCTACCTCAAGAATAATCCACAATGTATATGTAATATATACATTGGTAGCCACAATGAATATGAAATCAATCAACCAGTCAACCAATTTTCACTGAGGATTACCTATGTGAGAGGGAACATTTGCCAAGAAGGCAAAGGAAAGATGCTTGGCCCTGAGGAGACCTGAGGGAAAGGAGCTAACAAGGGACATCACTGATGTGGGGATGCCAAGCACCCAGTAGTGCAGGGGGAATCCCTCAAGCCAGGACCAACACAAGAGCTGCAAAACACAAAGAATTTTAAGGTCAGATGAGATGCTCTTTCCAGATCCACAGAAGAGCAACTTAGCGAGCAATTCCGGCACAGGCACACTCACTGGACAAAGGAACTTGGTACTCTTGGGAAGAACAAGACAGGGGAGAATGTAAGAAATGGGGGCCCGTCTGGTGGGCAGTGAGAGCCCTAGAAGGTCTCTAGCAGACAGGGAAGGGCTGAAACTGCTTTAAAAATGATCATTAGATCCCATTGTCTCCGATGGTCTGAATGAGGGGCGTGGGGAGCCTAGATAAAGAGGAAGGAAGTCCTGAACTGAAGGGCAGAGGAAACGGGAAGGAGATGTTGGGAGAGGTCGAGGAACCAGAATTGATAAGCTTTGTGCCTGCCTGCCTGCCTGCCTGCCTGCCTGCCTGCCTCAATATTTTAAGGCTCGGGTCTAGAGACTAGAGGGCAAATGGACATACCGTCACTAAGAGGCTAGCCCAGATAATCTGTGTTGTTGGGGGAGGAACACAGAGTTGTTTTTGCAACCGGATAGGGTTCATACCAGAGAAAAGGGCAACTCTAAAGTATTAGAAAAGTCTCCTGTACATTTTAACTAGTGATTAATCAACACCAGGATTTGAAGCAAGCTTCAGAGTTACTGTGCTTAGAAGTCAAATATAAGTGGTTTGAGTTTATATAATTCAACTCAGACAAAATAATAAAAGCTCCAAAATAAGGAGCAGCTGGAACTATTTGTCTTCATGCACACTGCTGAGTTAACCTCGGTAATTTAATACGGGACACTTCTTTTAACAACCGTGTCTCACTTTGGCTAAATCTCAAGGACTACTTATCACGAGCGGGTTGTTTATAGGGTGTTCTCACATAAACTCGAAAGGCAGAAACTTACAGTTAATCCCACCTACTCTTTTCACAGATGGTACATTTATTTTAAAGGTGAAAGATGGAGCTTGCCTTGCCTTTCTCTTTCCTTCATATCCACTCTCACCAGTCTGGCTACAAACCCAGGGGTATTAAGGGGTAAAGACCATAAGAACGCTTGTCCTTAGTCAAGCATAACCACAGCTAGGTAGGAAACACTATTTTGGGCTTTCAAAAAGAAACTGGGATTTAGACTCACCATCCAATGTTTGCATCAACATACCATAAAAATAATGGTAAGAATTAAATGGAAAAGTTAACAACAAAATTTGAAGAATTTATTACCACAAATTCATCTTTAGTTTATTAAAATGTGTCTATAGGATATGCTAAGGATTGTATTGGTGTGGGAAAACTGCCTCTAAGTCATGATTATTAAATCATCAAAATAATGACATTAAAATATCTGAGCACCAATATTTACAGAAAAGCCTCTGTGAGGCCATCCTTGTAGGCAGTCTTGGGGAGCATGAGAGGCTTCTGCGACGCTGCCTGCTTGCATTTCAAAACTGTACTGACATTTGAGGTGAAAACCTTATGCAATCCATCCGTCAAGTTTTCTAAATAAGATTTAACAATTCATTCATCTTGGCCCCAACAATACAAATAGCTTCCACATAAAAGACAAACTCAAATTTTGTTTGTTTTTAATTTTAGAGGATAATATTCACAATGGATATTGACGAGAGCCTGGTACAAAGAAAGGTACTGACTAAATGCTGTGAACAAATGGACCCCCAAATCAAGGAAGTCCTAACGTTCATTTATTAACAGAGAAAACCCTCCCCATACCACTAAAAGCCACAGAAGAATAACTAAAATTCCAGGCAATAATTACCTTCATCCCATATTAGAAATACATACTTTCACATGTTATTTTACTTAGATTTACTATTAAACATACTTTATTATCCTGCTGAGGCACAATGTCATTATATAATACTAATTAATACCTCAAATAGTCAATGTTTGTGGGTTAATATATTCCATTCAACATTTTAATAACAGTAAACAAAAACAGCTCAGCTATGCAATAAAATCCATCAAACCACACAGATGGTTATAAGGTTTTCATTATGTGGTTTCCATAGCAATCATATTGCAAATCTGGAAGCTTCTTGCAAATAAGCAGCTTGTATTTACATGCCTCTCAGCTGCAACACAAAACCCTCCAACACACTAAGTTATTATTCCAATCACACAGTGTTAGAAGAATAATCCGGAGGTTGCTTTGTGATCAGACAAGATGAAAATAAAGCAAGTTAAGTGCCAAAGATAATCAAATGCAGTCAGCACTGGCTAATCAGTGTCTTCTAGAAATGTCTGGTAGTCAGAAAGGTTACTCTAAGCCCTGTCAGAAAGAGGAAACTTCCAGAAGCCTTCGGACCCACACAATCCCAGAGCCTAACTGCAGCCACATCTTTTTTTAATGGCTGCTTGTCCTCCTTCCTGGGTTGAACAAGGACAGGAAGAAGAAAAGAGCCAATCTTTTCAAATCTTTTTAGGAAAGTCCATGCTAGGAAATGCTTACTATGAAAAATCTGGGACTTCCCCTCTCCTTTATATTAAACCATTTAATTTGAAAATTGGTCCAGCTTCCCAGCAAATGAATTAATATCTACAAGGATCACAAATTTGTGCAGCTATGTGATGTTTGCAATAGTGCTGTTTCTAGCTAACTAATTAATGTTCCTACTTTTGGGATAAATAATCAAAAAGAAAAATGCTTAAGCACCATGCTTGAGAAAGGCTACAGACTCTTGGTTAGCACTGAGACAAGCAGTGCAAAGGTAGACATTACAGTCTCTCCCAGGGAAAGGAAGGCAGCACACGAAACTTGTTTGTCTCACGACTGATCAGATTTCTCATGGGCTGCCTTCAGGAACAGTGCGTGGTTACTGAATTACAACGTATTCTAAGTTCAACCGGTAGTGCATAAAACTCTCTCTTTTTTTTTTTTTTAAATCGGGTGTGATAACGTTTTTAAGATTTTATTTATTTATTATGTATACAACATTCTGCTTCCATGTATCCCTGCGGGCCAGAAGAGGGCACCAGATCTCATAACAGATGGTTGTGAGCCACCATGTGGTTGCTGGGAATTGAACTCAGGACCTCTTGGAAGAGCAGCCTCTGAAACATCTCTCCAACCATCTTAACCTCTGAGACATCTCTCCAACCCAGCATAAAACTCTTACAATGTATCTTAGAAGAAAAAAATTATTCTCTGAAATACGACTTCAGTTTAGATCACTACCTGCCCAGGGTTCACTTGATTATGTAATCATGTGGCTTTTTCCCCTCAAGAATAGTTAATATTTATTGCTTAAATATCCATACTATCCATGTTTAAATCCATTATGTAACTAAATACTCCAATAACTCTATGAGGCATTGCTAGGCACTATTTTCACTTTTTTCCTCGTTATTTTATAAGTGCAAATGATGAAATTTATGGAGCCCGAGTAACTTGCTCAGGAGACAGCTAGTTAGGACATATATAAGAAAGGGTTAAACTCCAGGCACATACTAGGAAGCCATAATGTCTCTTTGACTTTTATTAAAATTTCAACTTGCTGAGAGTATTGTAAAGTAATTGCAAGTACAAGGCTCTGGATACTTCCACACACACACATACACACAAATTCATAAACACAGCCTGATGAGTTCATTTAGGTTTGCTTATTTGTCTTTAGGGCTGACTGCTTGAGACTGGATCACCTATGAGGTGATCCCTGGAGAAGACTGGCTCTCCCTTCTCAGGAGCCATGGTTCACCTGGAGCTCTTGATCTACAAGGGGAGCCCTATGAGATTACCCCACACATTTTGGCAATAACATGTAATGTTACTAGCTTAATGTAAGTTGGCCAACTGAACAGAAAAAATCTTTTTG